ATGTTACAGAAACCCTCTTTTGCTTTAGGGAAATGGCAATATCTGATATTTCCTAGAGCGAATGGGACTTTCACCATGGGAACCAATACAATTCCTTTTTTTGCTAAGATAGCTCTTAGTATGATAACACCCACCCACACTAAAACAATATCAACGTGGGTAGAATCATATATCACATGGTATATCTATTAGCACAGTTTTGGAAAAGTTAATCATGTCTAATAGTTATTTTAGTGGGATTAACTTAGAGCAATTACTAAATTTGGATCCTTCTCACTTGGTTTTCCACAATGGTTAAAAACAGATGCACTTCACTATTGCTCTCTCCTGATGACAGAACTCTTAGCCTTAGTTTCCCTCCCCCCTCCTGCCCTTCCGGCTCTTCTTTTGGCTGTAGTGGCAGAAACAATCTCCAATAACCAAAATAAGTTCATTTCTCCATTGTTCCGTTAAATGGTTCTGTAGTCAGACTGCCATGATTACAAAAAGGATTAAATGGATTGTAGCCAAATCAGACTGATGTAACTTTTTTCATTCATTATCAAACATTACCAAAAAGAAGTTTTTAGAATACAGTCATGTGAAAAGGAAAGTATACCCACTTTGAGCTCTATGGTTTTTACGTATCAAGTCATAATTTAAAAAAATCTAGACCTTAGTAGTTCTTATAAGTAAGTACAACCTCAGATGAACATCACATGACATATTGTACCATGTCATTTATTATACAAAAAGAAAGCCGAAATGGAGAAGCCGTTTTGTTTTCCGGTAACTGCAGACAAAATCAGACTCCACCTCTTCGTTAATTCAGGTTTAAAATGGAAAGATTTTAACACTATTTCTACATCATAATAACCTTCCAGGCTGATTCTTAAAATTCTTTAGCCACCTTGCCTTCCTTCTTGAAAAGTGCAAAGTCATATGCAAGCTGACTGGCATCAGGTTGATTCTATACATCAGTGTCTGCATTTGGCTCTTTGCTATTAACTGATTCCTGTTACAGCTATTCAGAAAAGTGAGATCATGTTGGACTGGTTTATGGGTGAAGAACATATAGTATATGACTTCACCTGATAAAGATTATATTAGCTGGGAGATCCAGCTTTCAGTTGGTTCCTTGGCTAGGCTTAGATGTGAGAAATTTGGAGGAAAAACAGGGAAGTGTATAAATTGATCCTTGCTTCTAGCTCCAGAAGGCTATTAAAGAGTGTAGAACATAATCTGACATTGAACACCAGACATTTCAAGAAGGGTTAAAAAACTTGGTGTATGTCCAGAAAAGATATCAAGCTAAGTTTAGAAATAGACATTTTGGCCCCAGAATGGTCTTTGGCCCACACACAAATTGTTCTGCCACTAAGCGCATGGATTTATGGGGCAGATAATAAAATAAAAACAGAGATTCACAAATCAGAATTCCAAAGAGCAGTGAGCTAACTACTGAATAGGGCAGGCTGCTGTTTTAAACTGATGTTTTCTTTTTGCTTCATTTAATCACAGCCTTGCCTGTATTAGCAATGTAGGTCATAGCATTTCATGACAAGCGATCTCCGTCACCCTTGTCAGTATCATTTTGTCAAACCCAAGAACTATGGGTTTGGGTTAATTGTAGCTCTGCCTCTGAGGCTAGAGAAGAGACTCGGGCCATTTATTGACTCGGCTTGAAAAGAGCTAGCAAAAATAAATAAATAAATAAATAACAGGATAGTTAAAGTTTTGTATTACCTCACATGCTTTTTTTTTTTTGACCCGGAAACTTGAGCATTCTTGCAATCATGAGAATTTGGGGATGCCTGAAGACAAGTTTATACTTCCTCTTGGATACATTTAGGCACACATAAAGTAATTATCCTCAAATCAACTTTCAGCAGTGTTGGATTCTAAAATCCCAAAATTTACAGACTTCAGGATGAGGAAGGCTGATGTCGCTACTTATTTGCAACCTGTAAGTCTAAATGAATAAATGTCACCATAGGGCATCTCTTTCCCTTTTAGTAGTTTTGCATCTCTCATTCTATAGGCCAATTTTTCTCTGACATGAAAGGTTTCGTGCAGTCGATTCATCCATTGCACAGGCAGATGCTGAAATGTACAGTATGTTGAACATACAATTTCTCGTTTGGCAGATTATGCAGTGACTGCACACTCTAAATTGGTCATCATCACTGCTGGAGCTCGTCAACAAGAAGGAGAATCTCGTCTGAACCTGGTTCAGCGCAACGTGAATATCTTCAAATTCATCATTCCCAATATTGTCAAGTACAGCCCACACTGCAAGCTGCTTGTTGTTTCCAATCCAGGTTAGCCATCTCCTTTTCGGAATGTTTACAGTCTATTGTTTATTGTACAGGGATTTTAATGGGAGACGGACATACGTCCCTTTGATGGGAATTTAAAGAAATTCTGAGTTTTCTCTTGCAGAAACTAAATCCACTTTTGTACTTATTTGCAAACATCTGTCAGGTCCAGTACAAATTTAGCAATACCTTTCTTCATAATGAGACTGGAAGTCAGTCTTGGGCATGTTGCTAAAAATGAGGACCCGGATTGTTGGGGGCAATAGGCTGACTCCGTAAACCACTTAGAGAGAGCTGTATAGCACTATGGGGGTATATTAGTCTAAGTGCTATGGCTACTGCTATCTTGGCCTTCCCATCATTGAGAAGTCCCTGTGTACAAGGGAAAATAAATGGACAAACTTGCCTAACTTATCATTCTGGTCTGGAGACAAAGTCTGCTAATTTTCTATAAGGATTAGCAATCTTTCCTCACCGTTTCTGCCCTTAATATGGCAGGTGTTTTCCAATTTAATTTTTTTTTAAATCAACAGTGGATATTCTGACCTATGTGGCATGGAAAATCAGTGGCTTTCCTAAGCACCGTGTTATTGGAAGTGGCTGTAATCTGGACTCCGCCCGTTTCCGCCATCTGATGGGTGACAGACTGGGTATCCATCCTCTCAGCTGCCATAGTTGGATTATTGGAGAGCATGGGGATTCCAGCGGTAAGCAATAATTTTTCTCTTTGCGTTAAGCCTAATTACATACTAAGCAGAGTGGAGAAATTATTCTGGAAAAAGTTGCAGATTTGCAATATTTTGTGAAAGAACCCAAGATTGTAGAAGCTTCTGTTGTGTAATCTATTTGCTGGCCTGTACCTGAACCCTTCCAACTTCTTTCATATTCTTGGTGGCTGGGTGGGTGTGTAAAATTTTAACAAAATCCTTTTAATCTAACCAGAGCTCTGTTGTACTAGAAGTACATTGGCTTCTAAATGTGAGATTTACATGCTGAGCAAACCTAATGGAAGCTTTCTCTATTCCCTTCTCAATATAAAAGTTAATCTACCCTGCCCTGCTACATGAAGGTAACACTAGATGAGCTATATTTGACTTTTAGTTCTGTTCAGAAAAGGTCAATTCT